GGCAGCCCCTTCCTCTCTCCTTACTGTTAGACCCTGCTCTCCCTGAACACATGGAAGTGAGGAACAAATTTAAAAACAATAAGCTTGAAATTAAACATGGGTATAGCAATTTTCATAAAGTACCCATGCACTTAGTTTATCCAGAATTGATGTATGTTACCTATGTTTGAAACTGCTACAGGTTTGAGCACAAGTACTTCATAAACACACTCTTGACCAGCACTTTGGCACCTACTTATGTAGCAGAAACTATGTATTAGTCCAAAGTCACAGGCTCATGACTTACCACATAGTTCATTGGGCTGGATCCCACCAGAGTCAACAGCATTTCAAGCCATGATAACCCCACAGCTCAGCACTGCTCAGTACGTGTGTATACTCTAGATAGCACATGGATCCTTTGGGGCAGGGGGGTAATTAGCCCCCACTCATGACTGGAACCGGGTATTCTTGTCACTACTTCTGGGATGCTCCAAAAATGTATATGCAGGTGAGGTGCAGGGCAACTTGGTCTGGTTTCAACCTCATGGAGAGGAGAGTCACACTAATCATATGCACTAGGCTAGAGATGGGGCAGCAGAGAGATTCTGGGTGAACTGTATGCAGTATTTTTAGCTCACCATGACTTGAAAAAGAGTTGGCCATGAGGGGGCACTTCTGTTCACCTTATTCAGAAGGCCTACATCAACCTATTCTTGTGGTAGGTTCCCGTCAGCACTTATCTGGCAGGGGAAATACTGTGACCACTAAGGCAGTTTTCTTAGTTGCTGGGGGTAACTGCTTTTCTGACGTGGGGTAGTACCCAGCTGGAGGTAATGTATAGTTAACCTCCCACTTTCATTTTCAGTGGGAAGACCTTGGCTTTACGCCCACTTTGTGGAAATGGGAGATTCCTCCCTATCTTGTTCCTGTGGCTATACAGCTGAGAGCAAATGAAACTTGGGGATATCCTAACTCCCTAGCTTGTTCCTGTGGCTATACAGCTGAGGGCAAATGAAACTTGGGGATATCCTAACTGTGACGTCGGTAGACCTCATGTTCAGTACCGCCCTTCGTCCGGTGGTCCCTCCCCCTCGTCCCGCCTGCCACATCTTTGATGTTATAGATGATTCGAAGGAAGGGTTCAGTGGAGATCTTCTACCAGAGGGCTTACCCGACGAAGGGGGGTACTCACGATTGAGGTCCCACGATGTTCCACGGGGCTCCGCCACCCCTACACCCCGTCCACTCACCAACCGGTCACTATAGAAGGGAGGTTTATCTGCCGTCACCTGCAGATCTTCTTGCTAGCCAGTCCACCTAATCGTAAGATCCGAAGCTAAGGGGTCATCTTCAGTCAATCCACCTTAGGCTCTGACTGACCCGGCCGTAAGCTCCGGTTATCTCTCTCTCCTCTCCCCTGATCTTCAGAAATAATATTCCTCCGGGATGGGGAGGCTTCCCAGATCCCTTCCCTGGTCCTGGCAACCCCTGGGGATCACTCCTGCTGCCCCTGCCAGGGATTCCTGTTCTCGCCTCGGCTGCTGGGTTGACGCCGAGGGGTCAATCTGAGCCTCCTGCTCC